TTCCTGCTCTACCCCTCTTCCAAAATAACTAGAGGAATGATAAACTGGTTCACACTGACACGTTTTGGTGCATGCAGATATTTTCATGTTGAGAGAATGTATTGCCTGTTTCACTAAAAAAATCCTCAGGTACTTTGAGCAACTGCTCTTTTTCCTTGAAGGAACTTGTATCAGCAGAGTTGTCCTGTTTCTCTACCTCTGTGCCATGTGAACCAACCCACCAGCTAAGGGCAGAACCCCACAGCTGATTAACTAGGTGAGGATGAACAGCTACTATTTCATGTCTGCATCTTCTAGATGCTTTGAAAACCACCTTTTTAGAAAAATCAATCTTCCCATAGCTGAATTAGACACAGCTCTTACTCTTTTATCTCTTTTGCACTTAAGTCCTTTTAAGGAGACCTACCTTTAACTCATTAATATAGCTATCTCTTCTTTCTTTCAGTTTATTCATTTCTTTCTCATCCCAACATCTAGCTTTAAATCTTAAATCACTTGATCCTCCAGAGATCACTCCAGATTTCAAAAATAAAGTTCCATCAAGAGCCACTGTCTGGAAGAAGAAAAAAAAAAATCAACTCAGATATATCTGAACACAATGTTCCCAAAATAACCCATAAACTAGTGCACCAGGATATAGTAGTTAAACAAGCAACAAAGACATTTTACTTGGACTCTGACTTTTTTTCCTGTTCCAAACCTGTTAACTTAATACAAGAAGCCAAAAAAAAAAAAAAAAAACAACCCAAATTAAATAAATCTGTTGTTTCTTGGCACTAGTCACATTTTGGTATTATTACAACAGATCAGAAAAAGGAAATTAAATGGTGCAAGTTCCTTGCTTCTAGGGAATTTCTAGGAGGCATTTGCATATACACAAGCATCTTAGAAGGTTATGTGAATGAAAAGAAGAATGAACTGCAAGAATAAACAGAGAAGCTTCCAGTCCTCAACAGTCTGTATCTACAACTAAGAGATTCTGTCAGATATTTTAAGGAACTTTTGAAAGCATTTCTTCATGGAAAAGCTAGCAAGATACAGGTTATATTTTCAGTTCAGTCAGTTTTAAGAACAGGATTATCCCTTCTTCTTTCCTTAGAAGGTTATGCCTGGCTTGGTAAAGCAGGTAACAGTGAATGAAAAGAATGAACTGCAAGAATAGACAGAGAAGCTTCCAGTCCTCAACAGTCTGTATCTACAACTAACAGATTCTGTCAGATATTTTAAGGAACTTTTGAAAGCATTTCTTCATGGAAAAGCTAGCAAGATACAGGTTATATTTTCAGTTCAGTCAGTTTTAAGAACAGGATTATCCCTTCTTCTTTCTCCTCTTTTCATCACAAGGACCATACCAAGAAACTTATCTGGACACTTACCTATTCTCTAATTTGCCTCCTTTCCCCAGGCAACCACTTAAATGCACTGCCACACAGAGGAAAACACAACCATGGGAAATATCTGGGAGTTCATTTATGTGAGAACAGGCTACACAGTGTAGCACCATTCTGTACTTATCTGGAATATTCTGTGGGATATTCACAGAAGATTTAAAACCAGCATTGAATATGTAACAGCAATGAAAAACATGCAAGAAAATTCAGCTTCTTACTTTCAGCCTCACTGGCCCATCAAAGGCAATTTGTTTTGCTTCTTTAACTGTTTCACAGATCAAGCCATTCCCACTCACAAACTGAATCACTTTCTTCAGGGGTGCAAATGGAGTCTGCACAACATCCACCACCAGTTTAGCTCCTTTTATCTCCCTTAACTTTTCGTTGATGGGTTTAACCTGTGGAGCAAACAAGCAGTGTTCAGAGTCCATGCTGCCATAGGAAAGTGCATCTAAATCCTAGTGGTCTGGGAACAGGACGTGCAGATGGACAGAACAGGGGTCTCAGTTGCTGGAAAACTAGAAAGGGATCTGGTTTCATGAAATTAAAGTGTGCTAATGCCTGTAGCATGGGGAAGAAAGAATCATAGAATCATATAGGTTGGAAGGGACCTCCAAGATCATCAAGTCCAACCATTGAGCCCTTAGGGCTCTAAAGTCCTCTGCTAAAACAGATCAGAATCTGTCAGGGCTGGAAGGGCGCACAAGGATCCCCCAGTTCCCACCCCTCTGCCATGAGCAGGGACACCTCCCACTAGATCAGGCTGCCCAGAGCCTCCTCCAGCCTGGCCTTAAAGACCCCCAGGGATGGGGCCTCAACCCCCTCCCTGGGCAACCCATTCCAGGGTCTCACCACTCCCAGGGAGAAGAACTTCTTCCTCACATCCAGCCTGAATCTGCCCACTGCCAGCTTTGCCCCATTCCCCCAGTCCTGTCACTACCCAATAGCCTAAAAAGTCCCTTCCCAGCTTTCCTGTAGTCCCCCTTAAGACACTGGAAGGCCACAATAAGGTCACCTCAGAGCCTTCTCTTCTCCAGGCTGAACAGCCCCAACTCTCTCAGTCTGTCCTCACAGCAGAGCTGCTCCAGCCCTTGGATCATTCTCCATGAGTTAAATATCTGTGTGCTGTTGCACAGCCACCATCTTGTTGGGATGATGGCTCCCACAAGCAGAGTGTTGCAGTGGAGGAACACAGGCTCTGTAGGAAGGATGGGCTGGGGAGACAAGGAGGTGGAGGTGCCCTGCACATGAGAGGGCAGCTGCAGTGTGTGGAGCTCTACCTGGGGAAGGATGAGTGAACTGAGAGCTCGTGGGTAAGGACTGAAGACAGAGCTGGTAAAGGATCACTGTACTGGGTGCCTACTGCAGTCCATGAGGTAGGAGAGCTCAGGATCCTGAGAGGAGGGAGCAGGGCAAAAGGCAGGCTTACAACCCTCAACTTCAGGAGAGCAGACTTTGCCCTCCTCAAACATCTGCTTGGTTTGGGGTAACCAAAGAGAGGTCCAAGAATCCTGGTTAATTTAAGGACCACCTACTCCAGCCTTAAGAGCAAACATCCCAAAGAGCAGGAAGTCAGGCAAAAATGCCAGAAGGACTGCATGAAAAAACAAGGAGCTCCTGGCAAAACTTGAACACACAAAAAAAGAAACCCACCCTGGGAGGAACACAGAGGCACAGTCCAAGCATGCAGATGTGGGGTTAGAAAACCCAAAGCTCAACTAGGATTCAATCTGGCAAGGAGTGTCAAAGAAAGGGCTTCTCTAAGTACACAGGTGACAAAAGGAAGATGAGGGAAAGTGTGGGCCTGCTGCTGAATGAGGTGTGGGACCTGGCAACACAGGTTATGGAGGAGACTCAGGTACTGAATTCCTTCTTCACCTCAGTCCTTACCAATGTGACTAGTCTCCAAGAATCCTGGGTTGTGTCCAAGGACTGCAGAAAATCATGTGTCACTCCTGTGTTCAAGAAGGGGCAAGAAAGAGCACCCAAGCAACTACAGGACAGCCAGCCTCACCTAGATCCCTGGAAAGGTGATGGAGCAACTAATCCCAGAAATGATTTTCAGGCATATGGCTAACAAGAAAGTCTTGAAGAAGCAGTCCACATGGATTCACCAAGCTGGTCATGCTCAACCAACCTGATAGCCTTCTACAATGAAGTGACTGGCCTGGGAGACAAAGGGAGAGAGGTGGATGTTGCCTACCTAGACTTCAGCAAGTCTTTCAGTACTGTCTCCCCTAAAATCCTCAGAGAGTAGCTGACAAAATACAGGCTGGATGAACAGGCAGGGAGGTGTGCTGAACACGAGCCCACAGGGTGGTGATTGGTGACACCAAGTCCAGCTGGAGGCCAGTAACTGGCCATGGCAACACTGGGACCAATCCTGTTTGACATTTAACTACCAGGATGATGGAGCAGAGCACCCTCAGCAAGTTCTCTGATGACACAGAACTGGAAGGAATGGCTGATAGACCAGATGGTCATGCTGCCACCCAGGGAGACCTCAACAGGCTGGAGAAATGGGCCAACAGGAACCTCATGAACTTCACCTCCTAAGTGCTTTGCCTTGACATTTAACCCTATTTCAGCTAAGCTTAAATAAGCCAGTATCAAGGTTCACAAGTGTATTAACTTGCTGATGACAGGAAAAAGAAGAATGTACTTACATCAAGATAATCCAAAGCCAGAAAAGTTTCAGGTTCAGCTCGTTCTTGTTTTAGGAATCTAATGCAATCCCTTGCTGTTTTTTCAGTGTCAACAACAATAGCAGTCATGTATTTGCTGAACACCTTGGTAACAGCAAGCTGGTATTTTTTATGAATAGGATGGCACAGGTCAAACAGTCTTCCAAACTGAAGATAAAAATATAGAGAAATATTAATATGCTACATTAAATATCAAACAGTATTTCTGTAGGCAAGATACTGAAAAAGTAAGAGGAAAATGTGTTACATATCTACCAGCTACACTCTCTTAAAATTGCTGCACATCAGAAAAAAACAAATTGTGGCAGCCATCAGTCCAAATTGGGAAGTGTGCCTTCAAAATGTGAAGGGATTTCCTTTTTTCTCTGAGGTTACAGGTACATATCTCAGTGTTTTACTCAATCTCCAGCATACAATTCTACAGGTATGACAGAGCAACAACAGCAGTTAGCTAAACTCTTCTTGGAGAGAAAGTATCTAACACACAATAAGATCTTTGAACAACAGTAAGGTCTTAAATAAATAGAGCTGTTGAAATGGTAGCAAGAGATGCATTATTTGAGTTTCAACCCCAAAAATGTCTATGTTTGCTTTAGTAGCATGAGAATAAAAACTGCTTTTCTTGTACTGCATAGTCTAAAAAACCAAGCCTGTTTTGCCATATGCTAACATCTCCATAGATAAAATTAGTTCTTTGCTGTCAAGCTCCCTTAAAATCTATTGTTCCATTTCTGTAATTACAGGTACAGTTGAGCTCCCTCTAAGTGACTACTTGTGCCCATTCTGAACGTTTTAAGTTGTACATTCATGCAAGAACAATTTTTCTGCTTGTCAACATACAGCTACTGCTCTCTCCTGGCCTATCTACAGCTCTGCCCTATCAAATTTAAACAAATGTGAACAGAAAGGCAGCTGGTAAGAGCTGTGTGTGATAAGTCATCCCCAGCACCATCTCATGAATGACAGAACTGAGGTAACTTCCAGTATGTCAAATTACAGCCTACTATGATCTCCTTTCATGGCCTTTCCTTGACAAATGTCTTCCCCTTTCTGAAGAACAGCAGAAGCAAAGGTAACACCTAACACCACAAAGTTCTTTTACTTAATTTCCTGGATTTTGCACACAGTGTCATCTACTTGGATGTTTCTATCCGCAGCTCAGATAGATGAACTTTAAAACATGCAAAACTGCAGAGGATTTACATATTTCCAGACATTTAAGTCCAGATGGAACACCAAACTTCTGTGAAAACAAATACTGACAGCCCAACTGAATCTAACAATAGCAAGCTGGCCAATTAAACCACCAATGGAGGAAATGATGTCTTGAAAATTAAATTGTAAAAACTGTCCTCAGCTGCAAAATTCACTTTGCTGACCAGAGAAATCCCTGAAAATGCCCATGTCACTCCTAGAGCAGAGTCACATTACTGCATGGCTCTTTCACTGCAACATTCACCAACCACCACAATGATGCTTTCAGTGTGTTGTAACAGAGAACAGAAGCTTTCAAATGGATGCAAGACCTGAGCATGTAGAAGCAGGGTGCCATTTTTTGCCTATGAAATCCACAAGACTGACACCAAGATTTCCTCCAGTTCTGCCCAAGGATTTATCAGACCAGAGGATGAAATGTGTCATGACCCTTCCATCATAGGCTGAGTAAGCAACTAGCCTCAAGGCAGACCTCTTAAACTTTAATTCTAAAATAAGGCATGTGCATGAAGCCATCCCATTACCACAGAATCCGGATAGAGTCTTTTGAGACTTTCCAGGATCTCTGCTCTCATTTGCTGACGCCTTCCTTCATGGTAATCAATTTTGGCATTCTGCAGTTCACCAGCTATTTTGTTCAACTCCTCATTCACTTCAGCCATTCGTATTGTTGAGTTTTCTACTTGCTTAACTAGCACTTCCTCTTCCTTTTTTTTCTCTGTTAACGATTCGCTTTGAACAGAAGCAAAAGCAGGAAAGCAATTTGTTATTTAATCTAGACAAGCTTTTAGCTTATAAAGTCATCCTATGGTTAAAGACTGTGAAGGTCATTAAAAATTTTAAGTATCTATAAAAAGCTACTTCTTATACAAGTTGTATTCCAGAGTATAAGCTATTTTCAAGGTTTCAGAATTGAGTTCAAGTGAGAGGTTTTGCCTGGGTTACACACAACCATATTGTTCTATCCTCCACCAATAAGAGGTCCAATAGAGTAAAACTAAGAAGGCCTGAGAATTTGAGTGCAGAACTGTTACTTTACACACTTATCAAAATCACTACTGCTCTGCCACACTCTACTAGAACTACTTAAAATATTTTTGCATCACACCAATCATAACTGGTCTGCTGCTCCCTGCCCACAGCAGAACTTTGCTCAGCACAGAGACAGCATTAAGCCAAGGCACACATTACAAAGGCAGAGGAAAAGATAAGTTGGAAAAAAGATCTGTGGAGATCACCTATACTGATCTGCACAAAACACAGGCTAATATCAAAGTTAGCTCAAGCTACTCAGTGAAGTAGGGCTTATATACACCTTATTTCAAAAATAGTCAAAACCAAGCAGAAAACAAGACCCAGGAAGCAAGAACTGAGCTGTGCTCCTAATACACAATGTAAATATGAATGCTTCCTAAAGCAGCAGAACCACAGAACTGCCCTGTTCTCTTGCTCAGGATCTGCACACTGTGAGCCCCGTGCCCAACCTGCAGTGATGCAATCTGCACCTAGAAGCAATCAGAAGCAATTATAAAACTGGTTTCAAAAACATGGAGTCACTCTATTTACTGCTTTGACTGCTGAACTACCTGAAATATCAATGGCAATTAGTAAGAATCCTAATTCTCACTAGAATTTTAAAGCCTACAGGAGAGTCAGAAAAAAATTAGATATCTGCTATGATAATTTGGAACTAGGTAATATGTGAGAAGTCCAATTAGCTTTTAATCTGTTAAACATACGTGCTGATCTTGATATATTCTTCCAACTTCTCTATTCGCTTTTTACGCTCCTCTATCTGTTCCACAGCCTGTTTTCTGCTCTCCTGTGCAATCACAAACAAGGGGTTAAAAGCAAACCAGAGGCAAACCACAGCTTTATAGCAACATATAAAGCTCTTAATTCAAAGCAAGTACTGAGACAGATCTTTTCTTCCTTGCTGATTTTTTATGCTGAAGTAACAGCATCTCTCTTTCCATGGCAGATGCCAAATTGCACCACGAATAATAAAGGGAAATTGTTTTATCAAGGCTGGATTTTTCACACTCAACTACAGTTCAGAGAAAGCTCCTTCAGCACCAAGAATTGTGTTAAAAATGGTGCTTTTCTTGGCCCAAGATTAATAGAAGCTTTTCCCTAAGAAGGATACATGAAGTTGACACAGAAGTTCCAACCTGATATAAAACCACACCATCAGTGAAACAAATATTTTCAATTACTCAAATTGACTCACTCCAGGATGCCATGATTTTTCTTCTCCTGGGGAGCCCAGAACTGGGCAGAGCATGCCAAAAGTGGTCCCCTACATGCTGCACTGTGAGGAGTGATCCCCCAGTGTCAGCAGTACAGGTAAGCAATGCCACCTGCCAACAGTCAGATGTGTTCTGTGAACTCTCAGGTATCCCTTGTACTTCCTTCTCAACAGCACCAATGGGACTTGCAGAGTTTTAGAAGTGCAAGAAATAGTTTATTTCCCTTCCAGACACTAAACAGGTTTTTCTGGTAATGAGTACTTCAGAAAAAAAAAGTGGTATTGAATCAAGAACAAATGGGTGCACAAGCATTAACTTGGCTATCAGGGCAAGGATGAATATCCTCAAAGATTCATAGTAAAATACAGACTTTTTCATAAAAACAAGTTTATATGTACAAGAATGAGGCAGTGGGAACTCTAGAACTAGCAAAGACTCATCTAATGGATTTTGAAGTTTTCTGAGCACAAGGAGTCTCCTCCAAACCTCAGCTCTGTAACTAAATGGTGAAGAAACACACACTGCCTTGCTAACTTCTTATAGGTGACAAAGCTTCTATCAGAAGCCTCATGCAAGCTGAACAAAGATCTGGGAGATAATTTTTCTAAAAGAACTGTGATGTTCTATTGTTCCATTTGGATTTGAGATGATAACAGAAATCAGACACAAACTGACAGCAATGATCTGTATTCACACCAAACACTCTGCTTCCAAAGTGCAATGGAAAAGTGGACACCAAGGAAATTTTTCCAACTACAACACACTCACACACACAGCTGACCTTAAAGGTATCTAGTTGTGACCAACACAAACCTCTTGAGGGTGTGAGTATCACAGAGCTATACAACAGCAGCAGGACATCTCAGAAAGAAATCCACACTTACAAAACCAGGAACTGATTACTGCAAAATACTAGACCCAAAGCCTTCAAAACCCAAATCCTCAATGTGGGCCCATGCAACCATTCTTTGAACAGATTTAGAAGTTATTTTGCTAAACCTGCTGCAATATGAGAACTGAACCAACACTTGCAATGCATCTCCTTTGCAGAAGATTTATGTCAAAGCACTGAACACGTTTATATAGACATTTATACCAGAGGGAGGGGCAGAGAAACGTTTTTCTCCTTAAAACATAACTCTAGCTTGACACAAATACCTCAACTTCTGTTTTCTTCCTCCGATTAAGTTTCAGCCTTTCTTGATCTGCCTTATCCTCCCAACGAAGTTTTTCTAGCTGCTGGGTTAGTGTAGCTACTTTCTTTCTTGCTGTTTCCTTTAGCTCTTTGTAGTGCTCCAACTAGGCAAATAACAAAACAAAATTCACTCCACTGAAAGTGTGGTTACAGCCCCAAACAGTAATTGCCTACTTTATCATAACTGAGGTTCTGAAAACCATCCAATTCTCCAGAAGATCTTTCTAGCTACTAATTGTAAGTAGCTAGAAGTAAGAAGCTAGTGTAAGAAGTTGTATTTAATTAGAGAAAGATTCAACCTAAAGCTTACACTTACCAGTTCTTGCCTATAGTCTTGGTTTAGTCTTCTAATGATTCCTATTTTTTCAGGAAAGTTTATGAAGTTGACAGTACCTCACAGCCAGTCTTCAGGTTAACACTAAGCTTTTGCACAGCCCCAAATAATTATAATATAATATA